GTCTGTGCTGTGACTCTAGAGAAACGGCAAAACCAGCTGAACCAAAGGCAATACTCCAAATAACATGGCACACAAACCCTGCCCCCCACAGTGATAGAAAGAAACAACCCCAAGCTCCCGGCTTCAAAGCCTTCATCTCAGTGTTAAATTCTAGAAAAAGTCTGCTCTGTTCATCCTTCTGTAAGGCCTGCTGAACAACAGTGAACTCAGTAGAGCAACACTTTTGTAAGAGATGTGGACAAAGGTCTTTGAGATTCTTGCATCATTCCTTATGTCGACCCCCAGTAAGATCCCAGGGCAAGAATGCAAATCCAACATTAGTAGGTTATTAAGAATAACCAGGTTGTGTGTGAAAGTGGCCAAGTGGGGATTGGTGGGGGGGGAGAAGTAGAGGTTGCATTGGGGGTGGGGGCCATGAGACAGGGTACCTTAGGGGTAAGTCAGCCAGGTTGAGGTCTGACTCTGCCTACCACTGCCTATACTGTGTGACCTTGGTCAAGTGATTCAGCCTCTCTGAACCTGTTTCCTCATGTGTAAACTAGGGGTGTTTACCTGGCTAAAGGGAAGGCATGATTAAATAGATGCTATATGCAAAGCACTTACCTTGGGGGACACCCAGATAGATCTCAAAACTTGTCATCATGAATGAAACCACATGGCCACCCTGGGGAAGGACGTGCTCCCTAAGGCTTAGGGTTGTCCCTTGAGATGATTCTGAGACAATTTCTAAATTGCTGTGTCAGGAACGACGTAGTGACTTTCAGACTTCAGCAGACTCCGAAACCCATGCAAGGCAAGGAAGGCCAGGCCAGGTCATACAAGTGACCAATATATGAAAATAGACTGAAGTTGACAAACACCATTTTTCACCCACTAGACTGGCCAAAAACTAAACACTCTGATAATACCAAGGGTCGGCAAGGTGCACAGTTGGTGGTTAGGAATGAAAACCAGTGCGGCCTTTTTGGAAGGCATTTCACAGTGTCTGTTACAACATTAAATGGACATAGTCTATGGTTTGGAAGTTTCTGTTTTCAATATCTGCCTCGGGCAGGCTCCCACATTAGGAAAAATGTACCAGGACGTTCTTTGCACAGTTATTTATAAAAGTAAAACATAGGAAATAAACGAAAAGCCCACTGATGACTAAATAATCCATGCTATGTCCATACTTCGAATGTTACTCTACTAGAAAAAGGAGTGTGCTGATATATTTAAAGAAAGAATGGTTTGCAAAACAGTTTGTACAATATAAGCCACTGTATGTTGTAAAACAAAAACAAAAACAAAACTGTAGGGATGCCTGCGTGGCTCAGTTGGTTGAGTGTCCGACTTTGGCTCAGGTCATGATCTCACAGTTCATGGGTTCGAACCCTACATCAGGCTCACTGCTATCAGCCTGTCAATGCAAAGCCCTGCTTTGGATCCTCCGTCCCCCTTGCTCGCTGCCCCTCCCCCACTTATGCACGCTCTGTCTCTCTCTCTCAAAAAATAAATTTAAACAAAACATTTTTAAAAAACCTGTATGTGTCTGCATAAATACAAAGAGAAAGGTACCACGTTAACCATGGCATTTATTTCTGTGAAGGAGCTAGCATGCCAAGGAACACTCTAACCATATACTTGAATCTTTTACAATGAAAATATATTCAGCTATTTCTTGTGAAATTAAAATAATTTTTTAAAAATAAATAGTAAAAATCTCATTACCAGGCATGAAAATTATCTATTTCCTTTAGAACATAAGTAGCTCCTGCGTTTAATTAATTTTTAAAATGATGATGTGGGACATAAAATTTTTTTATTTTATTATTTTATTTTTTAATTTTTATTTTTTGACAGAGAGAGAGCACACAAGCAGGGTAAAGGGGCAGAGGGAGAGGGAGAGAGAGAATCTTAAGCAGGCTCCACCCTCTCCGTGTGGAGCCTGACGCTGGGTGGGGTGGGAGGGGCAGGCTCCATCCCACGACCCTGGGATCA